AAATGAAGAGAATAAATGAAAATGGGACTTAGGAAAATAAATGAAAGCAATAGAAGAATTTTTAGATCACTTTATAGCCTTTCAAAAACATAAACTTCATGAGTCAGTAACAAACATGATATTTCTTTAAAATTCATATCCTAGATTATATAATCTTCTGATTCAACTTGGAAAAATGCTCTCATGTACATACTGTAAGAGCATTCAGAACAGATTAGCAGTAGAATTAAAATGCAGGCAAAGTAAAATATAATTTTAACTTGAGCTGGTCTTCAAACATAAACCCCTAAGATTAATAATAATAGGGAACACTTTTAATTCATTTACAATAGTGAAATTATTTGAATAAAATCTAACATCTCTGATTCAAAAACTAAATGTTCTTACATAACAGAGCTGATTTTTGTGACTTAAATTCCTGAGTCAGAGTGCCCTCTATTGGAAGAAAATAGGAAATGAAGGTTGCATTGAACAAAGAATAACAGCTGAAATAATCCCGAGTTCAAGCTTTATCACTAATGCATAAAATACATTTATGAATGATATGAAGTCTGGGGACATATTTTTCTTTTATTCTTTAATTCCATAATTACTTTTAAACTTACTCATAGTACTGAATGAACAAGCCAATTATTTTGGAGCCTCTAAAACTAAATCACATTCAAATTGGTTGCTCGTCATAGTGCTAGAACTATAAATAACAAACACAACTGGTTTGCTATATTTAAAGCTTTGATACGGTACAAAAATACTGTAAGTCTGGACTGTTGTCAGAGTATAATTTGAATTGTTTCTCATTCTCAACTAAAAAACCTTCCTGGTAAGAACAAAGTTTGTCCCTTCCTGATACATATACTGATATACCAAGCCCTGCTGAGAATAAAGTTAAAAAGTTTTGGAGGTTTCCAGCTGATGAGCTCACAGCCATCAGGGGTGGAATGAGACCTACAAGGAAGACCAACTGAGAGCTGGCTTTTTCTCTCTGTCCTCTGTCCTGTGTGGAAACAATGTAACTACGACAGCCCCCTACAAACCGGAAGGCAGGCTCTTAGCAGATGCCAGCTTTCCTGCACTCTCCAGAACTGTGGCGAATAATGTTTGTCTTCAAGCTACACAATGTATACTAACTTGTTGAAGAGGATATTCCCACGATCTAGAACTTAAACAAAAACGATTATTCTAGAGAACTGAAGAAGTTAGCAAAATTTGTTCTAGTTCCAAAAAAAGTCACAACTGTTTGGTGTTACTAGGACCTAAGTCTGAATTGGCTTATAAAGGTCCAGTCAGGATTTCCTTTCACTAGATCTACTTTATGCCTGTTAGAATACTGTAGGGGACATCTTTAAAACAAAACAAAAAACAAAACAAAACAAAAAAATGCTCAGAGCCACTATTTTTTTTCCTAACAGGGTCTTAACTCTCTAGCCATGGCTGGCCTCAACTTTGAAATAAATCCCAGGATGGCTTTAACTTATGATTCTCCTGCTTCAGCACCCTATGTGCTGGCATTAACAGATTTGTACCATCCTCTCCAGTTTTTGACTTGGGATTTTTGACTTAGGAAGTATGGTACTTGACATATCAGGACTTAGTTTTAAAAGCCCTCCGTGGTTACTCTAAGCCAAAGCCATTGATGAGAATCATTGTCAATCCCATTACATGAAACAATCCGCCACCTTTGTCTTCCAAAACATCACTTTCCATGAACTCCCCGAGTTTGCTCTCCTGATCTGCCTTTGTTCTCTGTTGATACAGGGAGTGACTTATGCACCACAGCGGTGGCTTCAAAGCCAGGATATGAACCGAGGCATCCTGGCTGTATGCACTTGGGAAAGTTCCTCAAAGCTTTCTGAGCCTTCACTCTCATATCTGTAAAACGGGATCAATAATAGTGTCGAGCTCAGAGACACTATCATCAGTTAATGGGTGTTAGTTTGTATCATTACTCATCGAACTTTTGTTACCATCACAGTAAACCGCTCTTTCTGAGTTATACACGGATTCTGACCTCTGCTTTCACACACTATTTCTTCAGGCTGTAATATCTCTTTTATTCATTCATTTCAAGGCCTATGTGCGAGGTGCATCTCCCCCCTTTCTCCAGGACCCGTTTTAGTCTTAACCTACACCATGGGCGCCTACATTGAACACCTGTCGATCTCTGATCTCTCCCTTCTTAAAGTTTCTTTGGCCACATGGTAACTTACTCTAAGAAATGCAGCTGAGAATTTAAACTACAGTTCTTAGTTTAATCAATGGCTCTCAGCCTTCCTAATGCTGTGGCCCTTTGATACAGTTCCTCATGTTGTGGTGATCCCCCCCCAGCCATAAAATTTATTGTTGCTACTTCCTACTGTAATGTTGGTACAGCTATGAAGCATGATGTAAATATTTTGGAGATACAGGTTTGCCAGGGGGGCAAGGTTAGGAACCTCTGGTTTAAATCCTCAGGCTGGCACATACTAGCGGAGTCATCTCCTAAATTTATAATTCCATTGTCAGGACTGCTTAGTGGCTTAAATCATAAAAAGCATTAGAATAGGATATAGCATTTACCTATTACATAAAAATCCATAACATACGTATTTGATTTATATGTTAGTCTTGTCTACAAACAAAAATTGAAGTCTACTTGGGATGGTAGTTTTGAACTCTTTGAAGTCAACTATGCTTTTGCATATTACATCTATATACCTATAACTTTAAACACGGCAATGACTTCCTATGATAGGCAACCACAAAGCACTTTATTAAGCTGCTTGTATAATGAGAAAACAATTCATAGTAACACTCAAGGAAAAGCACTCCAACAAATGGAAACAAATATTAGACAGAACAGAATGAATACAAATAAAATGTAGGCTATAGAAAAGGTCAATGTAACCAAATTACTTTTTTTTAATGTAATGACAAGTTTCTATCAGATTCATTCTCTAAAAGGCCAACGATGTCTTTTATCTGCCCCAAATCCTTTATGTCTTTCTCATTTCCTAAAGAATAAATACCAAAATTCTTAGCCTGCTATTCAGACCACCCACCACCTAACCTCATTCATCCTTCCAGTATTATTTTTCATCCTATATATACTGCCTATATATCCTTGATCCTCTATATATCGCCTGCTATGCTACCTCATATAACCTTTGGTATTTTTGCATGACAGTGGTTTCAAAAAATACTACTGTAATGGTTTGTCACTAGAACAAAGAGTGTAGGGATATCTCAACTAAGCTTTGAAAGACATAAGTTCAACTTATGAGTGTTAATTTCTGCCTTGCCACCACCACAGTGCGGTGTCCAGTTAATGAAATGAAGTAGCCACCCTTTCCAAAACGCCATCCTACCTCGCTCGCCTTCCATGGCCCCCAAAATGTATAAGCTATTGTCACGCTTTACAAGCAGAACACAGACCCTAGGCACACAAGATACACAGTGAAAGGAAAGCAGTTGGGGTTCTGCTCTACAGTGTCTGTATTTCCCTAATTCTGAATTTCTTGAATTCATGTGTAGTAAACCTCTCATGGTTCACATATGTAATACTGAGGAACAGAGAGAGAGAGAGAGAGAGAGAGAGAGAGAGAGAGAGAGAGGACATATTAGGAATGCTTTTTCAAGTTTGTTTTCAAATACATTAAGAAAAAAATTCAGAAACCAGTGACCCAGAAAATTAGAGCTTTGTGTAAGTCTATTGTTTAGAAAGAGGGAGCTAGAATTTGCCAATTAATAAAACTTTCAGGGATGGATGTAAAAATCCATGCATCATTGTTAGTTACGTGGTACAACTGTGTTTAAAGTTCTAAGCGTCTTTGTAGAAGATGTTAAGCTTCAATAACTTGTTCTCTGCAGATAACTCATACCTGATTTAGATATTTAAAAGAAATCTTTATGCTGACTACTATAAAGATCTCACTAACAAAAGATTTTTATCTTGTAAAACCTGGAAGCTTTGGTTTAATGCATATATAATTATCCAAGCCATTCGTATTGGAACCAGAGAAAGGGCAATAGTGTGACACTGCAGGAAAAAAATTGGAACAACAAAAAGTAGGCCGAGGAGGTAAGTTTAGCCGTTGAACTAGGCCAGCAGGTGCTTTGTGAAAAAACAGTGTCACGCTTCACTTTAAGGAACTAAATGAAGAGCGTGCTCCCAAAATGGACAGGTACCATACTTAGAAAATTTTTTGAGTTTTCAAAATAATATGACATACTAATTGCAATCTACTCTATTATATGCTCTCGGGTAAAGCGCAACACTTTAAGTCTTAAAAGTAAGCAAATAGTTTATATCAAAAACAGTCTGTTTCCCTTATTACCTCTATAACACGAATCCTTCCTTCATAGATCAAAGGTAGGTTTATAGCTCATAACTTAAAACTGATTAATTACAATTTTCTTGCTGTTGTTGATATGAAAATCCACAGTGAACAAGAATATCTAACTCATAGTTTAGATTCTGAGGTCACAAATGACGTGGACATCTAATATTACGGAAACATGAAAACTGGGATGTCCCACCATGATTGTTGTAGTAACTGAAGATTTTTACACATGGTTTGACCCTATCTTTGTTTATAAGAAGGACTTATAGAGAATTCAGGAAGGACAGACAAAAGAAATGTTTTCTTTTTCAGGAGTTGAGATAATTATGCTCAGTTAAATGAAAGATTCTCCACATTCAAAGAATCTGCAGCTTCCATGTCACAAGAGACACTCTAACACTAGTGACACTATCAGAAAATATTAGTATTTTTTTCCAGAAGAACAGCACATTAATCAAGTGCTCTAACCCCTGAGGAACACCCTCAGTCCTTAGCCAGCAATCCTTCCCCTGAGCATGCTGCAGAGTGAGCAACCCAATGAACAGCAGAGAGAGACTAGGAGGGACACAGGCATTTGACCATAGCTGAATCTAATAACCTAATAAATCAACAAATCCAGGCCATGCGGGCACGCACTGAACTGGAAAGACAGACGCAGTGTCTTCATCCCCCCTTACTTACTACACTCTGGCTTCCATTTTTCCCAAGTTCTTCCTCTGAAATCTTGCTCAAATTATCTAAGTAGTGGCCTGAAAGCGTGTGGCACAAATCTTCAAAGGAATAATCCTTTTCTTGGCAGAGTTTTATTTCATCCAGAAGCTTTGATAGTTCTCCAGTGACAGTTTCACCTACAAGAAAACAATTTTTTTCAGATGTTGCAAGAAATACTATTGCTAAAGTGTAATGCTTAATAAACGAGATTACTGTGCTGACAAAAGACAAAACACAAGTAGTTAGAAACATCTGCCAGAGCGAGGTGCGAAGCACAATTAACGTGAACACACTAATGAACAGAGGAGGCTCAAAACGTGACTGTAGCTATTCCGTCAAACTAGAAAGCAGTATTGAAAGTTGAGCTACAAACAGTAACTAGTTTCCACAGCTTCATTTATTACAGGAATTGAGGTTTTTTTTGTGGCAGCATGTCAATCGAACTCAGGGCCTCACAATGAGAGGCCAGAGCATGACCACTGACAGTCACTGGGGATTTTTTTTTTTTCATTTTTTAATTGGCATTTCACTTCACTGACAGAATCCAATGACCCATCAACAGCTTCAAATAATGGTGGATAGTTATTTCCTATTTTCAATGAACATAAATTTTGTTAACTTCTTTAAAGAAATAATTATACATACAGATAATCAGAAATGTGATAAGGAGAAAAACAGAAGGAATAGATAATTTTATCACCTGTCAAAACATAAATATTTTATAGTAAATATGAATTTTCTCTTGACAGCTTCAGAAAAGTACTTGGTACTTATAATCCACTCTGAAAATTAATTCCAGCAATTACGTTATAAATGTTGGTGGTTTTATTATGAATTAAAATTTTATTTAAGATGAGGAAACCATAGATTTTGACTTTATGTCTGGGTTTCTTTCTACAATGACCTATGTATCTGTATCATGTTTTTATGACAGTACATCTTTTTTATTATTGTCACTTCCCAGCAATAATGCCAGAAACCTACAACAGAAAAGGTAGTCTTTTCAATAGAGGATGCTAGATTACTGGATATTTGTGTATAGAGGAATTATAATTGATTTTATTTCACACTATATGCATTCAGCTGAAAATTCATCAAGACTTTAATGAGGGAGATCATAAAACCCTCAGGAAAAATCATAAAGCTTCCTGACCTTGGTCTGAAAAATAGCTTTTACAGGGACCAAAATCATAGGACAATAAATCAAGGTAGGTAAGTGATGTTTTACCAAGCTAGAAAGCCTTCTGTAGATCAAAGAAACAATCCACAGAGTAAAAGCAGCTTATCAAATGGAAGAAAATATTTATAAATAATAGATCTGATAAGGGGTTAGTGTTCAAAATATATAAAGAACTCAACTCAATAACCAAACAAAATCAAATGACTTAAATTGGCAAATGGACAAAGCACCTAAACTTTCATTTCTCCAAAAAGAAATACAATTGGCCGACAGATACATAAAAACTATGTGCAACATTATTGACAGTTACAGAGCTAGGAATTAAAACCACAAAGAGATCTGTGTCTCGGGTTATTACCAACATGATGATGGAAAGCAAGTGCTGGTGAGGCTCTGGGGAAGAACATCTTGTAAACTGTTGTGGAAATGTAAAAAACTACGTGAGAGTTCTTTAGCACCAACAACCGACTTTCAACGTTTACCTCAGGTAAATAAAATCAATATCTTGAATAGAAACATGTGTAGCCCCCATTTTAACTGAAATCCTATTTAGGATGGCTAACTATGAGGAAGAAGTAAGAGTCCATTGTTGCAGGGATAAATAGGAAAAGATACAAATGGATAATAGACCATTATGAACACTTATAAGAAGGGCGCCCTTTCTTTCAGAAAACGCTATAAAACTAAAGGTCATTTTGCTGTGTAAAATGAAGCTGAAATAAACAAATACTGCATGATCCCTCTTATGTGTGCAATAGAAAACGGTTAACATAAAAAGGCAGACAATGGAATTGTGGTTAGCACAGGCTCCAGCAGGAAGGAAATGGTGGACACAGTGATTAAAGGGTTCATGGTTTCAGTAAGGAGAGAATGAATAAACTCAGGAAATGTAATGTACAGTGCAGTGAATACGGTTAAAAATCTGTGCTGTACAGAGGTCTTTTCTGAGACGGATACTCCAACCAAGGACCATGCATGGAGATAACCTAGAACCCCTGAACAGTTGTAGCCCATGGCAGCTCAGCGTCCAAGTGGGTTCCTAATAAGGGGAACAGGGTCTGTCTCTGACATGAACTCAGTGGCTGGCTCTTTCATCACCTCCCCCTGAGGGGGAGCAGCCTTACCAGGCCACAGAGGAAGACATTGCAGCCACTCCTGATGAGACCTGATAGGTGAGGGTCCCCTATCAGTGGACTTGGAAAGGGGCAGGGAGGAGATGAGGGAGGGTGGTTTTGGGAGGGATGAGGATGGGGGCTACAGCTCGGATACAAAGTGAATAAACTGTAATTAATATAAAAAAAGAAAAGAAAAAAATCTGTGTTGTATGCTTGAATTCTCTGAGACATTTGATACTGTTTCACCACTAAAAAGTTGTGATTATGCAAGGTGAAACATTTGTTAAGTAGTTTGGATGTTGCCAATATAAGACTTGTCAAATATACCTCACAAAGCTAGAGAAAAATATCAAGTTCAGCAGAGATTGCTAACATTTTGCTCACTGCCCTGTCAGTGCGTGTCCAATCCCTACATCAGTGCCATGAGCAAAATCCTGTGTCAGCGCGTGTGGAATCCCCGTGTCAGCGCGTGTGGAATCCCCG